AGCACCTCTCCAAGCGCTGGACGAAAGGGACAAACTTATCGCCCTGGAGCGCCGCCGGGGCGCTCATCAGACATTCGCAGTGGTATACGAACCACGCCATTAAGTAGGTGTACGGTAGCCCCACCCTAGGATTGGGAGTTTTGATAACTACTCCTTCCCCCTCATCAAGGACCGACACACGGCAGAATTGGGCCGTCAGAGTGCGGAGCCCTCGGTGAATGCACGCTATCGTCGCCGATACCAGGGAATAAGACTTCCCGTGAGCTAGGCAAACCGCCGGATACACGACCTCCACAGGAAGAGCCTCAAAGGAGTGAGTGGGGATTACGCACCTCTTCAGCCATAACATGAGGTACCCCGCGAGCAGCGCCTTCCCCGAGATGAGAAACTTCTCCTGATGATGGAATGAGTGAAAGACCGTACCAGACTTAAACCCGCCCTCGTCGCGGTCAAGAGTCAGAGTGCTTCCTTCTTTAGCTGCCCTCGCCTCCACTTCAGACTGGTCGCACGCGCCTAACGGGAGAGCGGGAATCCCCTTGACATCGTTCCCCGGGAACAGGTAATCAGCCCAATTCTTGTGGCTGATCCCCGGGGTCTTCTTCTTCTTCCCCTTGTGATCCGAGGCCCCTAGGGTACTGAGGCATATGTGGTAGTGGCAGAGTAACTCCCACAGAGTTTCAACCGCCAAAGGGGAATGGCTCGACAGCTGATCAATCTCATCTTGATCGGGGACGTACTCCTCGTAAGGAAAGTCTCCCAGAGGCAGCCCCGACACGTCGTACATCTCGTGAGGGGTGATACCAAGCTCACCATTGGGGGTGAAAAATGTGCCGCTTTCCGCGCAATACAGTTCCAGGATACTATGGAACTGAGAAGCGTTGATCCGCAGGCCGTGTCGAGTGGCTTCGATGGCCACATACAGCTCTGTGCCCTTGAGATCAGCATTTTCGGCCAGAACATAGTCGGTGATCTTGGACCACCACGTGTCACTGCCAGGTGCAGAGTAAACCCACCCCGGGGCTCTAAAGTCCTTCGGGGGAAAGCTCCCACCAGCTCGAAAGAAGCGGTGACGGAAGGTCTCCGCCACCGCTGTCGACTCCCCCACGGGCGGTTCAGCGGACATTTGAGAAGCGTTGATCCGCAAGCCGTGTCGAGTGGCTTCAATGGCGACATACAGCTCTGTGCCTTTGAGGTCAGCATTTTCGGCCAGAATGTAGTCGGTGATCTTGGACCACCACGTGTCGCTGCCGGGTGCAGAATAGACCCACCCCGGGGCCCTAAAGTCCTTAGGGGGAAAGCTTCCACCAGCTCGAAAGAAACGGTGACGGAAGGTCTCCGCCACCGCTGTCGACTCCCCCACGGGCGGTTCAGCGGACATTAAGCCAGGGCGCAGGCCCGTCACGCGCTTGCACGAACTCTCCACTCCATACCCAGCAGTGGAGCCCGTAAAGACGCCACAAGTGACCCCGTCCTGAGAAGGGGTCAAATCCCAGGGCATCGTCCGAGGAATGGCGAGGGACCGCAGCTCGACGATCGAAAATCCTCTCGACATGCTAGGGAGGTAATAATGAACCCCCTCTACCGTGCGGAACCACCGGCTCTCTTTGAGCAACAGGGCAGAGGAGTCGGCCATAGCGTCGCCGAACAAAAATTGAGGCTTTGGCAGCTCTGCCCTGTCCTCATCTGTCAGCACCGCGTTGGTCGTCAACTCACGTAATGTCAAGTGATGACCGTCCGTGACCCTCTGTACCAGACCATGCGGCTTTTCAGCGGTGAATACGGGCATTGGAGCCAGAGAAGGAAATCGAGAAGGCGCCGTGTAACTCGTAGCCCCGGCGTGGCCAACGGCCACACCCTCCGGGAAAGCCTCATCGGAAAAGGTCGCTGCAACAAGAAATAAAAAGTCAATTGAGACAAAATCCGCTGTAGGGGCGAAATCGCCCATCGAACAGAAATCGCCTATCGAAAGGGGGAACCCATTTCGAACGATGTCTATCCGTACAGCCTGCACTCCCCTCTAATGGGAAAGGGCCGAACTCGCCTTACGAAAAGGGAGTTCGCCTCCTCCCCACTGAAGGATTCGCCTGCAGGGACGGTACCCATCCTCTAAAGGCAAAATAGGGCAGACTTTGCCCCAAATCGGGGAAATGAGTAACACTCATCTTCCTAAAATCCGACGCCTAAGACTTACAAGAGATCATCTAACGAACCCATCAACGTACCTGGGCGCGATTCCAGAGCACCGGCAGGCATGCCGGTGGAGAGACGGTCGGAATAACGTCCGGGGCCCGCACCCCTCACTTTGCACCTCTTAGATTTCGGAGCCATTATAGGATGAAGCGGGAATTCTTTCCTAGGATGTTCCTTTCAAGATTTGAGAGCACGATAACTCCCAATGGAGGAAAATGACTGAATTAGAAGGGCGGAATTGTCCACGTGGCCACGACTGCCCTCGAAAAGCGAAAACCCTAACGGACAGAAGACGTGGCCACGATCAAATTCGACGGCTCAGATCACCCTCAGTATATCGAAAGGACCGAGGTTGGCGGCTACATCCGACGGTTGAACCCGAAAACCACGGCCACGATGCGTCATGGGGCGAAACACACGAAATCGTGTTGTCAAACCACGATCGCCGCGACCCAATGGGACCGCGCCGCCTTAGCTGGGAAGCACAAGGCCCTATCAGCTGACACGTGGCTCATCTCCCGTCAGATCTGGGCTCACCTCAAAAAGGGCGGGTTTCGCCTGCAAATACTTGGCATGACCCCGCGAGCTGCGTGAAATTTGGCTCCCAAAGACCAATTTCGCCTGGGCAACTCGCTCGCCACTAAAGGTAAAATCATAAACAAAGCCAATGGAATGACCTCGCTTAAACGGTTAAAACCCACGCCTCAGACGGCTAAGGGTTAGAGCAGAAATCTTAGCATTAAGCCTAAGAGAGACTGTTCGACAACTCATCATACTGAGGGGAATAGTATGGCTAGCCCGATTCAAACGGTGATCGGTAAAGGCACATCAAACCCGTTGATAGCTGAGGATTTGCTAAAAATCCTAAAAGAACTTCGCCAACAATTTCTTCATTCAAAGTATTCCAGACCACACGCGAGCCGGTTTAGGTCTGAAAACTTTGAAGGGGGTCTTGTAGACGGTAAAAAATACCTCTATGGGTCTACAGGAAATTTGTCTACGAGAAGAGTTCGCACGCCCAGTTCTCTGGCGCGGACCTAAACCGCGTAGACGTCGACTGTACTCAAGTCCAGGTTCGCCTAACGGTCGACTCGCCAGCATGAGTCAGGGTCGATCAGGATGGCGGAAATTCGCTCTTCGCTCAACTCGCCTGCCCGAGTTCGGAGTCGAACCCGCCAGCAACCCCCAAGACCGTCAGTACAGCTGGGTATCCACTACCCCACGTGCTGAGATGGACCTTCCCATCTCTCTCGACCCGAAGGGAGAGAGAGCACGATACCCCAGGACCGTCAAACGGTCGCTCGTAGTACGCGCAGCACGAAAGCCTGGACAGGTGTCGAGTCAACCTGAGCATTCATAAATGCGACTCACCTCGGATGTCTGAGCCAAGAGCTGGATCCGCCGGCACTCGGCAAGCTGGCTAGACCCACTCGAGTACTGTACACCTACTTCACCGCCTCTCCTGACCGGAAAGGAGAAAGCACCGTGCTCAAAGCACGCCGGGCGGTCACGCACAGTACAAGTGATCGGACAGACACTTCATCGATCTGCGAACTCATAAATGCGGTTCATTAATGCTGGTCAAATCCACTCGGATAGCAGTCGTTCGTGGCCTCACACACAAGATGGGCCTTCCCATCGTAGGTGACAGGACATAGAGCACAATCCCTGGAATGACCATTCATGGTATCGAGGAACAGCGAGACGTCTCTGAAGAGGATGTGGTCACATCCCACAATTCAAGGAGAAGTCGAGCTGTCCTTCTTTCATTTAAAAGCCCCTTCCAGCACAATGGAAGAGAGGGTCGCAAAAACTTGGAGAAAAAAAAGTTGAGACCAAGCTGTTAGCAAATCCTTGCATTACAGCACTGCTGCCTAGTTCCGAGCTCCGATCGCCGACGAACTAAGCAGACCCGAACTCCATTACCCCGAGCTTCTACTACGAACTGAAGCTCTCTAGCAACCTCATTCAAACGGTCCAAGGGAAGCAGACTCGACCCGAGCATCGAGCGAAGCGTCCTATAGCCACCTAAAGTCCCCACACAAAACAAAGAGGGCCTTCCCTCTGCTTCTGTTGTAAACATTTGATTTGTTAGTTTGTAATAAGCTTTCTTATAAATACAAACGAAACTCCTTTCTTCGGAAGAATCAAATTTTCACCCTACAAATAGACTGTAGTTTAGAATAGCCGATCTATTTATGTAATCTCCTTGATTAGAATAGACTCTAGTTTAGAAAAAAAAGAACAATTTAAACAAATCAACTGACCAAGAGAGATCGCGGACGACGGCGGCTAGGGCTTCGGGATTGACTCCGCGATCGCAGAGGGAGATGATGAGGGAGAGGGTGATGCCGGGTCGGAGGCGGCGTCGGAGGCGCGTCGGAGGCCAGAGGAGGAGGCGGAGGAGGAGGGATCAATGAGAACTCAGCCGCCAGAGAGAGAGGAAGAGATTGACTCCGCGATCGCAGAGGGAGATGATGAGGGAGAGGGTGATGCCGGGTCGGAGGCGGCGTCGGAGGCGGCGTCGGAGGCAGAGGAGGAGGCGGAGGAGGAGGGATCACTGAGAACTCAGCCGCCAGAGAGAAAGAGGAAGAGATTGACGGGGGTTCTAGGTTTTTCTTTTGGTAACGCGGGCGGGCAAATGGGCACATATACACCGCCCATTTAGTACCCGTTTAGAGTGGATTAAAATGAACCCGCCCAATTAGACCCATTTAACTAAATGGGTGGGTTTTGGGCGGGCTAAGTGGTAGGCGGGCCGGGTGGGTAAATGGGTATGGGCAGAAATTGCCTTCCCTAGATGCGAACTATGCTGAAATCTCATGGCTTGTGGGAACTAGTAGACAAGGGAATACCGGATCCTGATCCGACACCAATTGACACAGCCAAGCGAGATGTAAAGGCGCTCTTCTTCATTCAGCAAGCCGTACATGAACCGGTGTTTGTGAAGATTGTAGCAGCAGAAATAGCAAACGAGGCCTGGTCTACTCTGAAAACCGCATTCCTGGGAAGTTCCAAGGTGGTAGCTATCAAGTTGCAGGGCTTGAGATGAGAGTTTGAGACATTGAGCATGAAACAAGGCGAGTCAGTTCAATCCTTCTTCACGCAAGTTACAACAATAGTCAACCAAATTCGAAGCTGTGGAGAAGATCTTCCAGAAAAAACAGTTGTGATGAAGGTGTTGCGCAGTCTGACAACCAAGTTTGATCATGTGGTGGTGGCGATTGAAGAATCCAAAGATCTGTCCACCTACACGTTTGATGTGTTGATGGGATCACTGCAGGTCCATGAATTTCGTCTCAACCGATTAGAAGTGAAGGACGACACCAAAGCATTCTATACCAAGGGCGATTCCTCAAGAAGCCAAGAACAGCAGAGGTTGAAGCAGTCAAGGCGGCAGAGTCAGAGGCAAGCCAAGTTATAATCAACCACATTCAAATCAACAGAAGAAAGATGTAGAATGCTACTACTGTCACAAGAAAGGGCATATGCAAGCTGATTGCTACAAGAAACAGAGAGAAGAAGGTCAAGACGTGGAGTGCTATTACTTCCACAAGCCCCGTCATGTGCAGGCCAACTGCTACAAGAAGAAAAGAGAAGGACATGCAAGTTTTGTTGAAGAGAAGAGTAATCAGGCACGGTTGTTCATGGCCAAAACCAATGAAGAATCAGATGTGAGTCAAATCTGGTTTTTGGACAGCGGGTGCTCAAACCATATGACGGGTTTCAAACATCTGTTTGATAAATTAGATGAGTCATACAAGAAGGCAGTAAAGCTTGGTGACGATAAAGAGATTCGTGTTGAAGGAAAAGGAAGAGTAGCCGTGCAGACCAGCAGTCACAATATACGGATGCTACATGATGTGTACTATATTCTTCAACTATCCCAGAACCTACTCAGCATCAGTCAGATGATGGACAACGGTTGTACCATCAAGTTTGAAGGCAACAACTGCAGAATTGTAGATTTAGCCACGGATCAGACGATGGCAACAATCAAGAAGACGCAAAACAACTTGTTCCCTCTGGAGATAGACAAGGTGAAAGACAAGGCACTTGCAGTCAAGGAGATTAGTTTCAGCGAGCTATGGCATTTAAGGTATTGTCATCTAAACATGAATGGTTTGAAAGTGTTGAACCAAAAGAAAATGGTGAATGGGTTACCCGAAATTGGTGAAATCGGGTTATGTGAAGGATGTGTGTTTGGCAAGCAATCGAAGCTGCCATTTCCAAAAGATCAGTCGATGCGTGCAACCAAGGTACTCGAGTTGGTGCATACTGACTTGTGTGGGCCTATGGAGGCTGAAACCATGGGAGGAAGTAAGTATTTCATGTTATTTATCGATGATTATAGCAGGATGACCTAGGTATATTTTCTTAGTTATAAAAGTGAAGCATTTGGGTTGTTCAAAAGATTCAAAGCCATGACAGAGACACAAACAGGGGCTAGGCTAAAAGCTCTAAGATCAGATCGTGGTGGTGAGTTTCAATCAAAAGAATTCAAGCAGTTTTGTGACAAAGAAGGGGTGTTAAAGCAGCTGACCACTCCATACACACCTGAGCAAAACGGTGTAGCTAAACGCAAGAACCGTACGGTAGTAGAACTAGCAAGAAGTATGCTGAAATCTAAAGGTATGCTGAATAGTTTTTGGACTGAAGTAGTAGCAACAACGGTATATGTTCTAAACCTATCACCAACCAAGGCAGTGATGAACAAAACACCGTTTGAAGTGTGGTTTGAAAGGAAGCCCAGTGTGGGGCATTTGCGTGTTTTTGGGTGCATTGCTTACACTCTCATAAGTACACAAAACCGAAAAAAACTAGACTCAAAATCTAAAAAGTGTGTGTTCATTGGGTATTGCATACAATCTAAAGGTTATAGGTTGTTTAATCCGATGACAAAGATGATTATAGTTGGTAGAAATATCATGTTTGATGAGAATGCTAGTTGGAGTTGGTCTATGGCGAAAAACAACACATCAATAGTTGAAACAGAAGATGATGAAGAAGAAGACAATAGTGAGCAGCCACAAAGCAGCCCAAGCTCGAGTAGCACTTCAAATCAGATGGTTGATCCGGATACACAAGGAAGAAAGGCACGATCCTTACAAGAATTGTATGAAGTAACTCAAGTTTTGTATGTAGTAGATCCATTATCCTATGAAGAAGCTGTAGAAAGAAAGGAATGGGTGCAGGCAATGAAAGAAGAAATGAGCTCAATTGAGCAAAACCAAACCTGGAAGTTAGTGGAATTACCAAAAGATCGCAATGCAATTGGAGTTAAATGGGTTTACAAGACTAAATTTGGTCCAGATGGCAGTGTATTAAAATACAAAGCAAGATTAGTGGCAAAAGGATATGCACAAAAGTAAGGCATAGACTATGAAGAGACGTTCTCCCTGGTGGCCAGATTTGAAACGGTTCAGTTGTTGATGGCAATGGCAGCCCAGTTGAGACAACCTATCTATCAATTTGATGTGAAGTCTGCATTCCTCAATGGTGAACTAAAAGAAGAGGTTTATGTTGAGCAACCGGAAGGGTTTGAGGTGAAGGGCATAGAACATTGGGTGTACCATTTGTTCAAAGCATTATACGGTTTGAAGCAGGCCCCTCGTGCATGGTACAACAAGATTGATGCACATTTTTAGAAATTGGGATTTGAGAGAAGCAAGAATGAGCCTAATCTCTATGTCAAACGCAAAGAAAAAGGAGGTTTAACAGCGGTATGTCTTTATGTTGATGATATGATTTATTTTGGCACAGATGAAGCAATGGTGAAGGAGTTTAAAGAGCAAATGATGCTTGTGTTTGAGATGACCGATCTAGGAGAAATGCATTACTTTCTAGGTCTGGAGGTTGAACAAGAGAAGGGGAGAATCTTTGTGTCTCAACGCAAGTATGCAAGAGACTTGGTAGAAAAGTTTGGATTAAAAGATTGCAATCCCGTACTAATTCCAATGAATACTAATTCCAATGAATACAAACGAGAAGTTGACAGCAATTGATGGAACAGGAGCTGCAGATGAAACTCGGTTTAGGAGTTTGGTGGGAGGTCTGTTGTACTTGACGCACACAAGACGAGACATCACACATGCAGTTGGAATGGTTGCGAGATACATGCAGAATCCAACTAAACAACACATGGAAGCAGCAAAGAGAATTCATAGGTACATTGCAGGTACAACAAGCTATGGTCTGCGGTACATGGGTGTTGATGAACCGTGTTTGACAGGCTACAGCGATAGTGACTGGGCAGGCAGCATAGGTGATAGAAAAATCATAGCAGGTCAGGTGTTCTTCTTTGGCAACAGCGTAATAAGTTGGAATTCGAAGAAACAATCAACAATTGCACTATCAACCGTAGAAGATGAGTACAATGTAGTAACATCAGCAGCATGCCAAGGTGTATGGTTAAGGCACTTATTGGAAGAGTTAGATTGTGAGAAGAAAGGTGCAACAATACTCTATTGTGATAATCAGTTGACAATTGCAATTGGTAACAACCCGGTGCATAACAACAGAACAAAGCACATAGACACTCAGCTCCATTTCATACGAGACCTGATTGAGCAAAAGATGATAGAGGTTCAGTATGTGAACACGAACCAGCAAGTTACAGATGTGCTGACCAAATCACTCACACGAGAAAAGTTCAACTGGTGTCGAGACATGATGAATGTGCTGGACTTTGGAGGGGTTGAAAATAATCCAAGTCAGCAGCAAAGTGCATAAGAGATACAGTTTCTAGAAGTTGCGGTATAGTTGCAGGTTTATTTTGTTGTTAAGAATTAATTATAAACTAGTTGTTAAATTTAGGCAGGACATTCTCTGTTTAGTGGTGTGCAGGGAGTAGTGGGTAGTTTCTATATTTAGTTTAAGTCATGTAGTGGGTTTAGTTATAGGATAATTAGAGCATGAGTGTATTGGAGTTAGTGAGTGCAAAATTAGGAATATGCACCATCTTAAGTATTGTGTCTGTATCTGTTGATAAATTAATTAAGTTGTGAGTACAATCAATTGCTGTGTTCTGCTTGTTTCTTTTAAAAAGTTCCAACAATTTTGATTCTGCACCAACAAAACAGATTTGTAGAGATCTTGAGATCAATATATGCAAACAATGTGTGTGCTAATGTGTATAAGCACACAACAAAACATGCAGGGTGTAACTATAAGCGTACTATCTACCTATGAAAATAATCATTTGCCCATCTATATTTATATCCAAACTGTCCATTATAAGCTATGCATTTTACAGTTCATGGAGGTCCATATCACATGATTTGAAAAATTTTAGCCTATACATATCAGACTTAGAAATGAACACGCACACGGTCTGTAAGGATCTCAAAATTGAGTAAATTTTAGTTGCATGAATTATGGAATTGAAAATTAGAAACCACATGATTTTTAATTCACTAGAGTGTGATAAAGTGTAGATTACAATGAATGATTCAATAGGTGGATAAACATATATTTTGATTTTGATAGATATAAGTATAACTTCTTTGTTACGTGCATCCTATATGTATTGTGACTTTACCCATATATGTTTATTTAATTTTGTTATTTATGTCGATACAAGTGAAGAAACAGAGACGAGGATCAGGAAAAACGAAGACTGCGTTTTTGGTTGGAGGTTAGTCCACCGCGAGCTTGAGTCCGGTAGACCAAATCCGTGCACATTACAGTGTTCAGAAAACACTGTTCGGGTCAGTCGAACGGTCAATCATATGCGGTCGACCAAATGTTGTGGAATTTACATAATCAAAAATTGACCCTCTGGCCGGTCGACCGCGGGCATAGTCTCGGTCGATCGGATCGTGGTTAGAGGGTCAAAAATTGACCCTTTGGCCGGTCGACCGCGGGCATAAGCTCGGTCGACCGGATCGTGGTTATGGGCCTGGTCTGTTTTCACAGTTGGTTTTGGATTCCTATTTGATATAAATAGGAACATGACGTTTTCTAGGGTTATGTGAGAGATTAAGAGATGAGATTTGAGCATTGTTTGAGCACTTAGAAAGAGAGAATTTCTGAGAGATTTAAGAGTTTTATTTGAGTGTTATTTTATGAGATTATTGAGTGATTGTAAACCCTATTTGTACTCTCTCTCTATTATTAAAATATTCCTCCTCTTTGCCTCGTGGACGTAGGCACATTGCCGAACCACAAAAATTTTGGTGTCTTGATGTGTGTTGCTTGTGTTTGGTTGTTAATTTTGTTCTCCTATCTTGTTCGTGACATTCGATTCCACTGCGCACAACAAGTGGTATCAGAGCTCCAAGTTGGCTTGGGGTTCAATTTTGGAGGAGAAAGCTAGGGCTTCCACAAGAGGATTTGGTGCAGATTCTCGTTTGAAGATTGGATTGTCAACATGACCGAAGCAAGTACATCCGGATCATCCCTAACTAAGGCGATACAAGGTTT